TTAGCTCAGGCACTCCTGATTTCCAGCCAGCCACAAGTTACCTGGAACAGCAATTACTCCTGCTGCAGACAGCTTAAAAGGAAAGGGTTTCTCTCACTTTTTGTTACCAATAACAAATTCTCATTAGCAGCAAGCTGCAGAATCCTCCTCCTCCTCCTCCTGTGAAACCTCAGCCCTAGAGGAGGTCTGTTATACCACCTGTGACCCTGACATCTGAAGAAACTGTGTCACTGTCTGACTGGTAAATAGCACAAAACCAAGAAACAGCTGCAAGAATCCTACAAATACCAACTACACTTCAACATTCAGTGCAATCAGTCCTCAGTTTCAGCTCTTTTTTGCTTCCCAACAGATGTAACTCCTAAATGTGAGCCTACTTTGGAACTATATTTCAATGACGGTTTTGGTCCATGAGGGGCACAGTGCTTTTAGGTGAGTTTGATACTTGGGCAGAAGCAGGGGCAAAATCTGACTGCCCAGTCCAAAGTGGCCTGTTCTCCCTTTTAGCATCCTTCATGCATGTTCCAAATTCAACTGCTTCCAGTGCTTGTAAAACAATCCTCAGGGAGCATAAAGGTTTGAATAAACAAGAAGCAATCATAACCCCATGAGGACTGTGCATGCAAACATATTAAGAAGTTGTGGAAACAGAGATGTGGAATGGGAATATATCACCACCAAATCATCAAATACGGGGAGATAAATAAAACTGTAAAATGTATTCCCCAACAACAACCACTGCACCCACAGGAGGTGGCTGCAAGGAGAATTTTAGCACAGTGCCTTGACCATTGCTGTAACACAGCTGGAACAGCCATGCTTCTGCAACAAATGATTTTGACAAAGGTGTGTCTGCATACCCAAAGCCATTTTCTGAGAAAACTTGTGATCAGCACTAATCAGCATATCCATGCTGTTAATTCTGCATAGAAAGCTGCACACTTATGGTAATGAAAACAGGGACAGATGATTAATTAAATGAAAATAATTATAAAAGGCTTTTTTCTTTTTGGGGACCAACAGCCCTCTTGCTGCATTCCAATAACAGATAAAAAGAAAATTAACTCTACATCTCATTAAAGAAAACTGGGGCTAAGGAGACAAAAAAAGGTAGGAATGCGCATGTTAGTAGCCAGAAAGAGACTGAAGTGGGCAAAAACCTTCTGAACAAATGCAAAAAGTCCATGAGAATTAACATTCCCATCTGGGACAATGTTTAGGGTAGAGAGGTGAGACAATTCTGGTACACCTTCCACTGAGGCTCTGAGCCTCCAGCTCAGCGAGCCAGCAAAAGGAGTGGGCTGGGGACTCAATCCCCAGGGCTCACACAAATCCTACTCCTGTTGCTTCATCACTGAGTTATGTTTTAGACCCTGTGAAAAGGGAACTTCTTACCTTTGATCAACCCCCCGGAGACTTGCTTAGTTTAAGAGCTGTTCCTGTCCCTTTGGATACCCTGTCTTAGCCCTAGGAAAGCAATCCTGGTGTCTGCCAGAGCTCTGCTTGAGCAGACTCATTAAGGGAGGCCAAACAAAACTTCCCATGACCCAGGACATTTCAGAGAAAGCACCAGGATCACAGGGCTAAACTAGTTTTTCTTGGCTATTGGAATTATTTTGGCTGAAATAAATATTTTGGCTTCCTTCCTTATCAGTTTGCCAATGAAAACATAGCTCCAAGGTTTTCAGACTCTAGGATTGTGACAATTCTGAAAAATGACAAAGTGAAACATATACAAGCTAATAAAGAGCTATTCATGCTCTAAATGTCCTCTTGTGCTGCTCTGCACATAGTGTAGCTAGGCTTCTGGAAATGTTGAGCCTGTTTGCCCTACCACTGATCTTGGTGATTTGTTCTGCAGCATGTCACACGGATGCTTTCTTTACAAGCAACCTCTCTGATTTCTAAGCAGTTTATTATTCCTCTCCCACAAAAACACAATACCATCCTATTTTTTCTTACTATTTGAATTAAACAGACTTTGGGGAACATAACTTATAGAACAGGCTACCAAACATCTGTTCACACTGGAGATGGCAACCCAGTGTCATTAGCGATCACCAAAGATAACAACCTTATTTTTTTTTATCCTTCTCCTTTAATATTGGAACGCTGTTATTGCAATTTAATACTGCAGTATTCCCTTCTCAAGGAATCCACTCACGTGATTACTCTCCACAGACTGCAACCCCAGAATTGTGGGGCTGCTTGCAGCAACTCTCTCCCTCCAAATGCCCATGAGTGCAGCAAGGAGAGGACCCCAAAACTGCCCATCTCCAAACCCTGTTCAAAACCTGGATATGGAACTGCATTTTTCCAACAATGGATTCACCTACAACACCAATTCTGTCTTTGGAACTTAGCCAAAGACTCCAACAGTGCTATATGAATTGATAAACCAACTCACACTATCTGGCAAAACACTTTTGTAATTAAAGGCAAGAGATGTGGAAAAGAAAAATATATTTGTTCACATTTCTTGTCCTAAGAACCTTAAATTGAGATCTTATTTATCAGTATGTGACTACTACATGAGTAAAAAGTGAAAAGTATCTCACTGCTTTAAAAACTAGTGGGGAAAAAAGAGTCAGATACTCAGTTAAAGACGTCCCAATGCTCAAGGCCAGGAGTGAGGTGGGGTGGAGAATATGACTCTTCTGCTATGTTTATCATTCTTGGTATATAACTCACTGCTTTGGTGACAGAGATACCAACTGGCAAAACCATTTTCTTACCCAGAATCTAAACACCACTCTTGTACTTTCCGACTATGGAGACTCCCAATTTTTACCCTGCAGGATGACCAGACATAGAAAAGGAAATGATACACAGAGATGAGTGAAGGTAGGGATTTCTCTGGCTATATAATCCATAAATTTGACAGCTTTTCTATTTTTTCCTTTTCCTCAACCTGGAATCTGAATTTTATACAATAAGTAAAGGTCTGCAAAGACTGGGGCTCCTCTCTGAGCAACAGAAGGCTGAGCTGGCAGTTCTGGCAGGCATAATTCTCAACTACCACTCAAGATGTTTTATGGAAACCACAGTGCTACTTAGAATTTAATTTCCTCACTTCCAGACCAAAACTACAGCCACAAATTTAAATATAATTCAAAGTCCATGGGAAAAGCAGTAACTGTTACTACAATAAACATTACAAATTCCAGGTGTTAGTTGATTTATATGAGGAAAACACAAGGTGCTTTAGTGATTTGATGCATTATTAATGCAGCAACAGCTACTGGTGTTTCATCAGAAACAGAATTTTACACTGATTTTTACATCAACTACTTCACTATATTCTTCCCTAATGAAAATTTAGTTAAATTAAAAAGAAGGTGTCTTACTTCTCAAGAAGTGTGAAAATATCCAAATACTCATAATGGACATAATTAATGGAGGTTTCCAGATGGTGCAACTGAACTGGTTCAGTTAATGACAAAGAAGCAGCTGGATTCCAGTAAGAGACATTACATATTTCAAAAAAAGCCAATGCAACTAGAAATGTCACTGTCCTGAGCAGACTGGTATCCCCCAATCGCCTGTTCAGTTTATGTTACATATTAAGTCCTACACCTTTAAGATTGGTTCCAAGAGTGAAGTGGAGGGAAGAAGAATTGTGCAGTTTGTTTGCAGAAACTGCACTCACTCCCTTCTGCTTCTCTGGACTGTGTTGTCTGCAGCACAGACAGACAGTGAGACAGAGCTCTCCTTTGCTTTTAGTTAGTTTTTAGCTAGCTGAGGCAGAGAAGTTCCCCAGACTGTATTTTTTCCTTTTTCTTAGATCAGTTCAAACCTGCTCTGGACTGAAAACCCAGACAAACCCCGGGAGCTCATGCCTGGGGCCCACCAGGGCCTGGGCCTCGGAACTTTCCAGCATCAGAGGGACTGATACGAGACTGAGCAAGCTGAGCTACACCCCATAAAAAGGACTTTTTTGGATTTGCCATCCCTTCAAACACTGAGAGGTTTTATTGTTTAATATTCAATTTCTGTTAAATAAACAGGTTTTTCCACTTTTCTCCAAGGAAATCTTTTTCCCAAACCAGGTTGGGGAGGGGCTGTTTGAATTTGCTTTCTGGACGGAACCGCATTTGGAGGTTTTCTCCCAAATTTGCCCTAACCAGTCACCAATAAAAAAAAATTACAGAAAAGCAAAGGGTGCAAGAAGGCCAGACAGGGCTGCCACAAAAAAAAACCCAAACCAAACCAATAAACCCCTGAACAAACAAACAAAGAAGCTAAAAAAAAGAAAACAAAAAAAACCCCAAATATCCCCAAACAAACAAAAAACCAACCAACCAACCAAAAAAACCTCCAAAATAAAACAAAGAAAAACAACAACAAAAAACCCCACCAAATAATTTAAATCTCAAAGTTCATTTTTTAAATCAATCCAATGCTAAAGTATTTGAGCTAAGAAAAAATTACTTTTATAGTAAGAACTGAAAGTAGACGCATTGAATACTGACTTTGGAGCAAAGAACAAATACTTTTCCCACTCAAGGCAGAGGTAAAATGCTGATGTAAAACCTTGTTAATAATTGTCTGTCACTTGGTATCTCTGCACACTGACTTGCTCTTTAAACGTTTTGTAACACGTACCAGTATTTTATCTAACACAGAGATGCAAACTCATTTCCTTCTAGTAAACTGGCTCCTGGAAGTTCAGGGAGCAAAAGAGTTCAGCTAAGTACAAAATGTGCCTCACTTCTTCCATCTTGTGGGCACCAATGAATGTTGCAACCACGACGAATCTTGACTCAGGAAAACATTTAATCACATTCTAGGTATCTTAATATCTAGGGGATATTTTCTTAATGTGCACTTACAAACTTGAATTTTGTTTAAATCCCTCTGTGATAATGAGCTGTCTCTCCAAAGGCTTATTAAAATGAATAGAATATCTTTAGTGTTGGGTTCTATTTGTCAAAATAATCATGGAAATACAGGGCTATAAACAGAATGGAAGAATCACATAAAGCGAGGCATTAACTCACCCACTGGTGATGTCGTCAGCCCTGATGTTCTTGCCCAGCACGTCGCCATCGCTCATGTATCCGGAGGCATCCATGGCGATGCCCTCGAGGTCTATGTCGTCGCCAGCCTTGTCGGTGATGTCCACGTGGCAGACGCTGCTGCCGCGTGTGGCCAGCTGCCGCCGCAGCGGTGCCGAGTACAGGTAGCGCCCGGCACCAGGCTCGGTGCTGATGAAGCGGCTGGCATTCCCCCGGGGCGGGTACCCGTTCCCCATGGACGGCGCATCGCCAGCCTGCAGCCGTGGGCTGGACTGGCCCAGTCTCCAGGACAGTGGTGTTGGCCGGCCTGTCAGGCTGAGGATGCTGCGCCCGCTGATCTCAGTGGTGACGTTGGTATCAAATGTGGTCTCCAATGTGCTTGAAAGGAGAGATGTGATGCCTTAGGACTTTAGCTTTTATATGTTTCAAATCCTGTACTGCTTTAGTGTACAACTCTAAACACCATATAGAGTGTTAGTTAACTGTCTCCATATTTGGTCAGACAAAACAATCCAGGCCTGAAATTCAAGGACACCCTACTGCCTCAGGCCCCAAAAGTATAAACAAAGTGAACTGGGGGGAGAGCAAACTGGGGGTATATGACTTCACATACACTGAATCTGTAATTAGAGAACTAACTCCCAATATGTTAATGGACCAAACTTATAATTGTCTAAAAACTTGCGACCATCGTCCATCTTGTGTGTAGCCTCTGGAAGACTTCTGACTGCCCAAGGGGTACCTGTTTGAAGGCCCTTAATAAATACCCACTTTACTCTCCTAATCTTGTCTAGCCTCTGTTCTAGGCATCATTCCAAGGCGTCAGATGCACTGGATCAAATGTGGCTCTTACATGGAATGCTGTGAGATTTCAGGTGCTTCCAAGGCTCTGAACTCTCAGCAAGTTACTGATTGTATGTAACTTCCTATTCTCTGGTTATAGTAATAACTAACAATTTACTGCTACAACACTTGGGGAGATCCTTTCTTTTCACTTTTCAGGTCTTTCCCCCATGTTCCAAAAGAGACTCTTGCACCCATGCCACCAGGTGCTCTACATAGATGTGAAAAGACTTAAGCAGGAGCTTTTTAATGGACTATCCACAATATCAAAGCGCATCTTTCTCATCTTCAAGCACATACAACAGCAAGGGAATAGGATAATATGCTGACTTAAGGAAAACCTGCTGAAGTACCATTTTTCTGATGTATTCCTTTTTATTGCCCGCATTCACGAAAATTCTAACTCTGGACATATCTTGGCCCAGCACCAAGACATAAGCTATTTCTACGCCATGGAGAGAATTAAATGAAAAAAGTAACAAGAGCCAAAAAAAAAAATTTTTTTTCGAAATATAATTTGCATATTAACAAGCCAGTAGTGAACTATGACTTACTTTGAAGATGTTCAAACCCGAATCAGAAAAAGCAATAAATTACTCATATATTCGTGAGTTATGTATATTTAAAAAAATATTGATAATATTTATATATGGAGCCCTAAAAATGGGACTACACCATGAGTTTTCAAGCGATGTGTACAGATTGCAAGGCTATACTCTGAATACTCATCACTGAGTTGCAGCTAATTTATTTGCAGCTAATCCATAGCTGCAACTTCTCTTACCCACACAAACTCCTCTTTTGTTTTCCTGCTCAACTAAGTGCCACTTTCTTATTTACTGTGGATATTAGTAAAAATAAACAGCACTGTACCATTCTCAATGTAATGCTACATGTAAACTGCAAAAACCTTCGTATTCTCTGGTTATAGTAATAAAACCATGAAAGGATGTCACATTAATTGAAATTTGCAAAGAAAAATAGCTTTGGGAATTCGTCTTTGCAAGCTCAGCTTCAGTTTCAGATGCAAAGCAAAAAAGTGTTCCCCCAGTAAACTCATTTAGGGCTGGGGTACATAAGGCACCAAGCACTAGGTAGGACCCTAACGTCATAAGCAGTCAAACAGCTTATTCTCCCAAACTTCCTGTTCAACACTGAAAAGATCTAACTTACACAATGTTTAGATGTAATACTAATCTTTGTTTATTTGCAGCATATTTTAAATATTGCTGAAGATTTCCAAATTCTGTTTCACAAAGAAAATGCCATTACATTCAGGGGATGACTAACAATATTAAAAAAATTTGTTTGTCCAAAGTTTGGTCAGGAATTTAAGTTACGCATTTGATAATGTGGGTCAAGCACAGTTCACCTCTTATTTAAACAAAATACTACATATAGGGGGAGAGAGTAATGAGAAGTTACTCAACAGTAAGAAGAAACATTTTAAACTGTAACTTATATTCAAACATCACCTCACACATTTAACAAGTGATTATTCTTGACCTCTGAGTCAATACAAATCCCATCCCATCAATTCCTCCTCATACCTCTCGATAACCAGCCAACATTATTCAAATTCTGTGCATTGAAGACAAAAATTACAAGATCAGTATCTCCCATTGTCAGTGTTAATCATTTTTCTAAGGATGCAACCCAGCCAGGTGTAAGAGATGTAAAGTAAGAGCAGAGTGGTTTCCATTTTTTTACGAACACAGTGGTGTCCTTACCTGTGGGTGACCTGGGTTCCCCGCAAACTGGACATGGTTTCCTCCAGGTTCTGCCGAAGGTCAGCGATGTTTTTCACAGTCCTCAACCTCCGAGTCTCTGGATCCTCTCCTACAGGGAAAATAAGCCTTGAGTAAGGACCAGGCAGGGAACAGCACAGAACTGAGCTGCAACCTACGCCTGAATCTGACTCAAATGCACTTTTTTCTGACTTTCTAAGCTGGTTAGGTTTGAGATTTCATTCCCCCTTGGCAGGCACCTGCCATCATCACATCCTGACTGAAATGAGCTCTGCAGCATTACCCTCATTGCACAGGCTGCCTTTGAGATGTTGCTGTACTGTCATTTCCCATGTCATTTCCAAATTTAAATTAAAGGTTAACTTTCAACCTCATTAGCATATACACTCCATCAATACCACCCTTTCCATCTAATATATTGACACAGTTAACATTAACCTGACACAATCAATTTCTCCAATGTTGTGTTTTCACTAGATCTTCTTTGTCCTACAGTAACAGCTTTCCATAAACTAAACAGTGCTGACTGGGTGGGTGTTCCATGATGAGTGATGTTTCAGGTAAAATAAGAAGAAGATGTCAACATCACGACACAGTTACTATTCCTAAAACGTGGTACATGACATGAAGTTGGGGGATGGCTTAGTTTTCACGGCACTGAGAAATCCTGTTCTTTAAATACTTTGTTCAAAAACACATTCATGTCCTGCTCTTTAAAAGTAGAGTTTATGTACACAAAAAAAAAGTCTTCTTACTGCCTGAGCATAATTTCATTTTATCAAATTAATAATTTAATTAGTGCTCCAGCATAATTTATTTACGTGCTGTCAGCTGTCATTTCAGAAAAGCTTCGGCTGCTACCTCAGCTGAGCGTTAGAGAGTTAAATCCTCTAAGAGGCTGAAGAGAAGTGGATTTCTAGTAGTGCTGGCATATTCTTTGTAAGCTGAAAGCTGGAACAAAAAACTGTCACAAAGCTTCTGTTGAGCACAGAAGGAAATTATTTCAGTCTAAAAGGTTTACAACTCGTGACTGAAGAAAATACTACAGTAAATGTAAAACTTTTCACATTTTATATCAGCCTTCTCTGTACAAGTGATGCATTTTTGAGCTGCCAGGATGCTGGGCACTCACACAATTGCTAGTTTAGATGGATATCTATACATTACACACATCAGAAATGAGACGAACCAGACAAAAAAAGCTGTTGGAACTTTCTACATTCTCTGCTTTAAATTTCATGTTTCTAAAAGATGCCAGGTTGGTGGCACAGAAAAACCCACTCACTCACTGTTGCCTACAAAGCAGCAGTGCTACAAACTACTGACCAAAGTGCTTAGTGCCCATGAGGGCATTTTTCTTTTAATCAGTCTCTACTCTCTGGGAAATCACCTCCCTGAGTTACAATTCACTTAAGCCAGAGGGTCAAACAATTATGGGCTGGCTGGACTGAAAACATCCACCTAACAAGACCAATTACTTCAACCAGTGGGTCTCTGGAACAGCAAACATTTTCTATACTCATGGATCTACAAATTTTTGTAGAAAAAAACATGAAATATTTATAAGACTTTAGCTTAACAAATGTCACGGTGCTCTTTTACAGATCATTTCACAGATGTTAAGACAATGGTAGGTAACTTCTTAAGAAAACACACAAGAGACAAACTAAATCAATTTCTTCTGAGATCACTCATGCCTAAATTGATACCAAATTTTCACTTAAGTTACATTCCACTGCTTGAATTGTAACTATACTTAAAAGACAGATATTGGGTAGTTGGCCCCTAGAGCTTAATTCTGAAATCACTTAGCTTCTCGTGAGAAGGGAGCATTCTTAAACAATTCTGCTTCCATTTTTCCTTACCTATGCTCTCTTTTGTTTCACATGTGCTTTTAAATTAACAGCATCAATAGCTGCTATGCAGGAAGAGAAGATATCTGTGCCTTATTTCTTCTAATACACTTGGGGTGACGGACTATTTTGTTTAGTTTGCTCTGTTTCCCCCAAGGCCCCTTCATGGATGCTGCTGTCTGGTCTGACTGTGCACAGCTGGGGTTGGCATCTCCCTTGTTTGAGGTTGTCAGCTGTCTTCTGCCTCAGGATCCCAAAACTTACATATTCTTACATAGTTGAGTTATAGTTTTACTTACATAATATCTGTCATTAAAGACCAAAGGCCTTTTGTGATCTAGAAACACTTCTCAGTTTGCAGGCTGAAATACATCCAGCCCAGCCAATATGATGATTAAGAGGTAACGCTGAAAAAGTTTAAGCAGCTGGACACTGTGTTTCTTACTTGCAACTCTTATATTTAAAAACAAACACAAAAATGTTCTCAAGGATTTTATCCCTTGTGCCTTTTACCAGCCTTTTAAGTACTTAATCCACCTATGTATAAATTGTACACACAGATAAGTTCATTTAGGCATTCCTGCAGCCCTCTTCCTCACCAGTGACTCTGCTTCTCACCTTTATCAGCACACAGGTATAAAGGCAGCATTGATAGAATAGGCAATACAGAATAAAATTAATCTCATTATGAAACTTTTAGCCACATCACTTTTCCAAGGAGGGCATTTGGTTTCAAACCCCACATTAAACTGGGGGACACCAAGGCTAAGTAGATGGAAAAAACCTGAGATATCCTACAAATGAGACATCCTGCAATAGCACACAGTATGCAAAGTCATAGATATTGCTGAAATAGGAACAGGAAGAGTTTAGACTGTGACTTTAAAAACACATTTTAGATCACATTAGTAGAATCTAATAGATTCTAATATGGTTGCTGAAAATCCCTTTGTTATATTGGTAAGTTTAATTTTTTTTGCTAACTAGCATATACTTCTTACAGTAGCAGGAATTCTAGATAAATATACCAGGTACTTTCTAATTTAGACTGCTCATATTCTAGCTACAACCAGCTTCTGCTTCTGTATGCTGGACACAATGGAGTGTAGCTGAATTTTGGTGCCCTATTGCTGCGAAGGCTATTTCTCAAATTGATCAGATTTATGTGAGTGATACTGAGATCACTCAAGACCTCCAAACCAAAACATAAAGGAAATGAACACAGCCTCTTCTGTAAGCTCTGAAATGAAGTTTTTAAAACTAAACAATGCATATTAAATGCTTGGGAATACTTAGGTTCCTTATAGTAGTTAAATCCTAAAAAATTATGCACATCTCCTAGACAAACTTAAAGCAGGCAAAATTCCTGGTGATTTCAAGAGATTTGGGGAGCACACTTGTGCTGAACTTAAGCATCTAGAGCTCAAATTACTGACACCCAATTTTCATTGCTGAAGAGCTGAAAGAAATATAGTTATTAAGAACTAAAGCATTAGGAATGAAATCAACTTGCTCTAGCCCATTCTTATTTAACCAGATCACAGCCAGTAACGGGTCATGCTGCAAGACTTACCTGAGAGGTCCTCAACAGCAGGCTGGGCAGTTTTGACATAAAGAGCAGAATCCATGCTGATCCCTCCTGTGCTGGCCTCGGCTGTTACGTTCCCTTCATTGTCTGTCTGAGATCTGGAAAGCAAAACAAAACAGGAATGTGCAGTCACTCTCCATCTAAAGTATCTCAAGTATAACAACAAGATGAGTGCACCTGCCCTCAGCCACTCTGTCCCACTCTCCAGAACAGACCAGCAGACTGATTTTACATAATTCATTAGTCCCATGTTGAATTATGTCCTGGAAATGGAAACAAGCACTCAGCTGTAAAAAATAAAAAATTCATAGTCAAAGATAGGCTTCACAGCTCATCAGATGGGGTCTTAAAACACTTGGATTTCCAGATGTGTTTTAATTATCAATAACATCAGTTGTGGCTAATCTGATCCTCTCCTATAAAGTTTGTATTGCATGAAGATAAAGCAGGAAGCATCAGATGGCATGTTACACTCATGCTAGGTTCCCTTCAACATCACTTCCATTTTAAAAGAAATGATTGGGCAAAACCAACTTCAAACTCCAACTTATTGTCTGATATTATGGCTGCTAGATAATGAAAGGTGATGTAAGGATCTATTGTTAAATTTGAGTAAGATACTGTGACTCATTTCACTTTACTAATTGTGCTATGTTTTTGCTCATAGAACCAAACCAACAGGCAGCTGGAAGTTCTCCTGCCCTAAGGGTAAGTACTGTAAAAAAGTGAAGACAGAGTGGGGAATTACTATTGCAATACTCTTAATGTCACCTGACTCTTTGTCATGGGGTAGCTTTCCCTTTAAGACAGCTTTGAGAGCTAAGGAAGTTGAGGCTGCTGGTGGCTGATGGGAGTCCTTTCTCCTGACCAACTATCAAGCATTTCTAAGAATTGACAGCAGTTCTGACCATTAAAAAGTAAATTCAACTTGTAAACACCCCCTTAAGATGTACAGTCAGAAGTCTCTTGCTCTCTGTGGTTTCCGGCTTCTGACAAGGTAACAAGGCTCTGTCTTGGCCTCCTCCTCCCCCCCTCCAGGCCGGACGAGGCCGCAGGGAGGGCGGGGGGGGGGAGGAGAAGCAGAGCTGGCCGGCCTGGCTTAGTTTTCAGTTTCTGCTGCTGGACTGAAACCTGACACCATGAACTCTTGCAGCTTTCTTAAAGCTTTTAATTCTTTTACTACCTGGATAAACGTACAGATTACTCCTTTTTCTTAAAAAGACAGAGAAAGAGAGACAATCAACATGAAGAAGACATCATAGAACCACCAAAAACAGTGAAGAAAAGAGTTAAGTTTAAATAAGAAAGAGGGAAAAAGGAGATGCTTTACAGCTGAAATATCTTTCTGTTAAAGCTATGGAACTAGACAATAGTAGTTTAAAAAGACTCTAATTCATGACTAGAGTATGGGGAGGAATAGAGTGTTCAAAGTGTAGACTTTTGAGAAAAAGAGAGAGTAATTGTGATACTGTGAGTTGCTGGAAATGGGTAGAGTGAAGATTTGAAGCCT